AGTCACCTCTGCCCCCCGGCGGAGCCTGGCCATGAGGGCCTGGGCTGGGCACCCCCTGCCGCCCATGCAGGGCACTGCCAGACCCTGTGAAAGCCGAACTCCATTTGGCTCCCCAAGCCCCTGCTTCGGCCTCCCGCCTCCCACCAGAACCCCACTCTAAGGCCAGAAGTGCCCCCAAATCCGAACGCTGTGGCCCACGTTCCCCCACAGCTTCGTCCTGTGCCAGGCTGTCTCTATGCCCTGAGGGCCCCGACCTCAGCCCGCTGGCTTCCTCATCTGGGGGGCCTTCCGGAATGCTGTCTCCGGTTGTTGCCCTGGATTGTACAGTCTGCTCCGTCTGTCTGTCCGTCCCCTGAACCTCTGAACTGCCAGATCCAAGGCGGAGCTCAGCACCCTTCCCTGAAACGACCGGCCACCGTCTGGGCGAGTAGCCTCAGCCTCCGTGCTGCCTCTTGCGAGAACCCCAGCAGCAGAGCCCCCTTCTCCTCCAGCCCCCACCCCCTGACCCCAGCCCCAGGAGGCTCCCCAGTACTGGAGAGACCACGGCCCCTTTGCCTCAGTCTCCCTCCTCTTCCTCAACTTCCCTGTGTGACTTCATCTCTGCCTGCTTCCCTGCTGCCCGGAACACACACTCTCCCATCTCATGGGGTGCAGGCCCCAAGCCCCACAACCCGTCCTGGCTGTCCCGCTGGCAGCTGTCCTCCGTGTCCCCCTGTAGGATTCACACGTCCACCATCGTGTCCTCCCACCCCCACACTGCGTGCTGGGGTCCCCGAGCTATGGGCGGAGACCACGCTCCCCCTCCGAGCTGGGGTGCTCAGGGCCCCGGGCAGCCCCACTCACCGCTCCTGTTCCCAGAAGGGACCTGCCGCCCCTCCTCGGCCTCTGTGGAGGCCCATCCCCTGGTGGCCAGGAAAGGACCCGACTCAGACAGGAGCCCTGAGCTTCTGGCTCCCCTGTCCGCCCCCCCCCTTGGGGCCTGCGTTCTGGGTCCCAGCCTCTCCCCTCTGCCAGCTGCACCCATTTTCCACTTCTGCACCTGCCTTCAGAGGCAGTAAACACTGAATCTCTTTCCCCCAAATGCCAGCTCATCCTTCAGATGCCGAGTCCCCTCTTAACTTCCTCTCTCTCCCCTCCCCTGCACCACCAGGCTTTTTGAAAGAAGAATCCACTTTCTCTGCTGCCTGTTCCACCCTTTCCATTCTGCACTGGACCCACGGTAGCCTGCCGCCAGACCCCGCCACCTGCAGAATCAGCTCGGGCTGCATGTCCAGGACTGTCTTGCTGCTCTCTCTAGGGGACATCGGGTGGCCCTTGCCTCCAGGAGCCTCTGGCCGCAGTCGGTTCTGTCGGCCGTCCCTCCGTTTGTGAAACGCAGGGCCTCCAGCGGCTAGGAGGGCGTCATGCCCTGCCTTCTCTCCTGCTTCCTTTGGCTCTCCCTGCTCCGTCTGCCCCTCAATGCCGATATTCTCCCCCGTGGCCTTCTGCTTTTCTCGGGTGGTGTCCTGTGCCCAGGCATCCTGTGCGCACCCGTGTCTTCACCTGCCCCTGCACACGATGACCCCCGCACCCATCTCCACTCACACCTCTCTCCAGACTCCGGGATCGCACTGCCCACTGGGTCCTGGGTGCCCCAGACGCCACAGACACAGCACATCCCAAATGGACCTTGCTTCCTGCCCTCGTGCTTCCCGTAGCAGTGAAGGAGACTCAGTGCACAGCCCAGACAACGGGAGTCACCCCGGGCTCTCACCCCCACCACCCTCCCCGCCTGGGGCAGCACCCATGTGAGGCTGTCGGGCCAACCTGGCTGTCCCTGGACAGTCACCTGGGAAGCTCGCCAAACACAGCTTCCTGGGCCCTCCCCTCACTACGGAATCCAAATCTCCAGGGCGCGGGCCTGGGAATCTGAGTTTCTAGAAGGCTCTCCCCACCCCCACGTTGCTGTGATGGCTGGCGTTCTACAGCCCCGGTTCTTCCCGCATTGCCTGCCCACATGGGGCATCAGCTTCCTCCCAGCACCTCTGGACTCATCCCCGTCAGACTGCCCCCAGCCACGCGGAGAGACATGTGGGCCCTGCGTACACGCACAGCTTGGCAGCTCCTGTCTTTCCACACGGGTTCTTCCTGATCCCAGCCCCCAGATGGGCTCCCAGTGTCAACGCGGGCCAGCCTGACAGACTGCATCTTAGGCACGGTCAGCCCACGCAGTGACCACGGATGTGGTGGGGTCCCCCTGGTCAAACGGAGGCCCTCGAGACAGGACCCGGATCTTCAGCGGTCACTACCCCTGCGCTGAGCGAGGCTCTCTGCTCAGAGAGGTGGTGGGCAGGAGACCAAAACAGGAGAAGGAAGGAGGGATGGCAGGGGGCTCGGAGGTTGACGGTGACTCCGCCAGCCTGTTTGGAGGCCTGGGCCACGAGCTGTCTCTGCGCAGCAGGGCCCTTGCTGTACGTCCTGAGTCTAGGTACACAGAAGTGCCTCGGTGGTGTTCTTACTGCCGTCCTCACTCGGGGTTCCCCCCATAGGAAGCCAGGCCGGTGGCTGGAGCTTGCCCTCCCTCCAGGCTCCCTGGTGAGGTCTGGGCTTTTAAGAAGTCCTGGCCACCTAGGGGCACCTGGGTGGCTCAGTGGGTTAAAGCCTCTGCCTTCGGCTCAGGTCATGATCCCGGGGTCCTGGGATCGAGCCCCGCATCGGGCTCTCTGCTCAGCAGGGAGACTGCTTCCTCCTCTCTCTCTCTCTGCCTGCCTTTCAGCCTATCTCTATCTGTCAAATAAATAAATAAAAATCTTTAAAAAAAAAAAAAAAAAAGAAGTCTGGCCACCTCCAGACTCCATGAGTGAACACGGCTCTCAAGGACCCCAGGACCACCTCACACGCAGATGGGAAACCAGCCATGCCCTCCCCATTCCTGGACCCTGCTCCCAGACTTGGTATGTGCCTGGACAATGCCCACTGTCTTCCCGTCAGGGCAGTCCCGGCTGGAGGGCGGACCCCTCCACCTGCACCTCTTGCCCCATCCCTCTGGTTCTTTTACCACCATCCCCCCATCTTCCCCTCTTTGCCCACTGACCGTCCCTGCGGCAAGATCTGTGAGTCACGTGGACGGAGGTCTTATCCACGGCCCTGTGATTATTCTCACGGGCTGTCCCCGTGGTCCTGACTCCCCCCAATGCTGACCGCCAGCCCCTCCCCAGCCCCGGCCTTAAGATGGCAGAAGCCTTGCTGGGGAGCAGCGTTGGCTGGGGTGGGGGGAGGCTTGCATTAGCTAGGTGGCACCCCTGTTTTGCCCCCCCCCCACTGGAGAGATGCCAGACCCTCAGGGAAGTGAGTTTGATTCTGTAGCAGGCCTCCCCTCTGCCTCCCACACTCAGGGTCAACTACGCAATCTGTGGGTCCTGCTGCAAACTGAAAATGCAGGACATATTGTTGGAAAATGACTAAGGGTTGCAAGAGGGAAGAGCAGAGCACAGAAACAACCCCCAGGCCCCTCTGCGCACAGGGGCCTGTGGGACTGCTTGAGGCTCACACCGATAAGGCCAGCCCTGCCCACATCTCCTTCCAGCTGGAGATGGTCTCTCCCCACTCTCTTATCCTTAGCTGCTTTCTAAGACAGATCCTCAGGGCCCCAGGGCAAGAGCCCAGCCCCGGCCCTCTGCAGATGCCCAGAGCGAGGAGCAGCATGACCTCCGGCAGCCCTGTCGGGGTCTACCCCACACATGTCCTCCGGCCGCAGAACGCTCGTGTCCATCTCGAATCAGGGCTTATTTACTGAGGCCCCTGGCTGCGTGAGCAGGAGAGGACACGCTGACGAATACCCAGTCTTCACCCTGTAGGAGCTCACTTTATAGCAGGATGAACACTTGAGCCAGAGCAAAACCAAACACATACCCAGTGGGTTAAAAGGAAAAGAATCACATTTGATTAGGAAACCGAGTATCACAAAAGACAGTGTAAGGATGGACTGTGATGAACGGGCAAGATCTCAGGAACCCCAAGAGGAAATGGGCATTCCAGGGAGCAGGCACAGCATGGGCAGAGGCTGTGGGGGGCCGGGGCAGGGAAGATGCGTGGCTGATTCTAGAATCCTGAGCTGTGCACTTTGGCTAAGGCAGGGGGATGACGGCACAGTGACAGGGTACGGAAGGAAAACTTGGGATCAGCCATGGAGGCTCACAGGGCCACGGTAAAGTGTGTGTGCCCTCTCACTGGAGAAGGGGGCTTTAAGCACAGTGCATACTTAGGAGCAGTGGGAGAAGGAAGGAGAGCCTTGCAGACTGCAGAGCCAGGCTTCTCCTTAGAACGGGCTGCTCCTACCCCGGGTTCCAGCCATCCTCACCACAGTTCTGAGGGGCTGAGGCCTGAGCGGTCTCCAGCCCCGTGCACGCCAAGGGCCTCCATCCCGCGCCCCCCTGGGTTTGCGGCAGGGCCCAGGCGGGGGTCGGGGGGGGGCTGGAGCTTTCCCATCACTCGCTCGCATTGGCCCTGAGCCAGTGTGTGTATTGGGGTGGGGGTGGGTGCGGAATAGGATCCCGCACTGGGCTGGGGATAAACCGTTGGCTGTGCGCGCCCAGAACGCACCACCCAGAGTCGGGACAGGGCGGCTCCCAACGTTGACGGCTCCACCACCCACCGTATTTTAACTTTCTATTATAGTTCTTCCCAAACACGCCCCAAAGTAAAGAGAATGGCGCAGTGCTTCCCCACGTCCCCACCGCCCCGCTGTCACCGTTGTCCCCTCCGGGCCAGGGCCCTATCGCCCGACCCTCCCCCAGTGCCCACGCCCGGTTGTGGTAGAGCGAGCACGGCGCGCGCAGCACCGAGGCCGGGGTACTGACCGCGGCTGGGGGCAAACGGGCGGGGAGCGGGGCTCGCGGGTAGGGCCTCGGGAGGCGGGGCGGGGCGGGGCGCGGGGCGGGGCGGGGGGCGCCCTCCCAGGGACTCCAGGCGCGCGGGCTGGGCGCCGCGCTCAGTCTCCGCCCCGCAGCCCGGAGCGAGCCCGCCGCGCCGCTGCTGTCAGCGCCCATCCGTCCGCCCGCAGCCCGCCACAGCCCGCCGCCTCGCCATGCCCAACTTCGCCGGCACCTGGAAGATGCGGAGCAGCGAGAATTTCGACGAGCTCCTCAAGGCGCTGGGTGAGCTGGCGCGGTCGGTGGGCGCCTGTGAGGAGGAGCGGCCCCGAGGTGCTCCCCGGGCCCGCGGGGTGGGCTCCGGGACCGGCCCAGGCGGGAGGGCGTCCCTGGGGCGAGGGCGAGGGGAGCGATCCAAGGCCACCCCGGCAGGAGCGGCGAGTGGAGCCCGGGAGCCGCGCGCCCCGCGGACGTTTGCTGGAGGCTTGGCGCCTTCCCCGACGGTTCGGCCTCGTCTCGTGCTGGACCAGCGCGAGGGGAGATCTCGCTGGAGTCCGAGGAGAATCGGGGACTTTAAATTTGGAGAGTCGGTGTGAGGCCAGGCCCCGCCTCGAATCCATCGTGCTGCGCAGGGAAAGCCGCTTACTGGGCTCAGTTTCTCCTCTGGAAACTCTGGGCGAGGGTTGCGGGGGTGAGCGGGTCTGTTTTGAGGTCTCCATCTCTAGGCAGAGGGTTTGGGCAGTGCTGGGCGGGCGCCGCGACCGAGCCTGTGGCGCAGCCCTCCTTCCCCGCGCAGGTGTGAACGCCATGCTGCGCAAAGTGGCGGTGGCGGCTGCGTCCAAACCGCACGTGGAAATCCGCCAGGACGGGGATCAGTTCTACATCAAGACGTCCACCACCGTGCGCACCACCGAGATCAACTTCAAGGTCGGAGAGGGCTTCGAGGAGGAGACCGTGGACGGACGCAAGTGCAGGGTGAGGCCCCGGAGGCGGGCGGCGTCCCGGGATCCCCTCTCCGAGCCCTGGACCGCCGCGGCCGGACGCGCCCCTGCCGGCCTTGGCAGCCGGCAGCGCGCTTTCCCTGCAAGGCCGTACACTGGCAGTTTGCAGAGACAATTCGCGCGAGCTGGGTGCCCCGGGCGGGAGAAGGTCCTCCCCAGTCCGTCCCCACCTCACCCAAGCCGCCGGCTCCGCGCTCACAGCTGCGCCTGGAGCGGCGGGGGACCCCGGGCGGCGGCGTCCCGCGCGGGTGCGGGTGCGGGTGCGGGTGCCGGAGGCGGCTACGGGGCTCGGCAGCCGCCACGTCTCCTGTGGCAGGTGGAGCGGCAGCGCTCGCTTCCCCCGCCGCTCCTCCCCCGCCGCCCGAGGGCCCCAGGGGATGCCCCGATCCAGTTTCAGCAGTCCTGTGGGCCCGCACCTCTCCCTCTGGCCCTCAGCCTGGTGTCTTGAAGGAAAGGCGGAGTCTTCCCAAAGCGAGGCCGATTCCGGCTGGGGAAATGGACGAAGGGCTCTCTTGGTCCTCAAGGGCAGGAGTTTCCTCTTTGTGCCGATATTGGTCCCTGGGATGAACCAGTGGACTGAAGCCAGCCGCTGTACAAGCCCGTTTTCCGTGGGCAAAAATCGCATTCTGTTGAGTAGAAAGAAGGGTCGGGTAATGTGTATTTTGAATGCAGATGGAAAAATCGTGGCTGCTGCTGTCACTTACTTAAAAGGGGACAAAATGTCTCCCTCCCTTTCCCCAGCGTTCAAAACAAAGAAATACTCATAACGTTCCGGAAAGTGAGAAATTGAGTCTCCCCTTTCCTGAGGGGTGACTGTCTGCTCTGTAGGGTGGGGTGCCCTGGGCACAGAGACTCGGCCCCAGGGGTCAACCCACATGGCAATGTTTGGCCCACAGAACTGACACAGCCAGAAAATGATGTCCCGGCTTGGAGCTGGCAGGGTCCAAGCCCGTGGTCACTGCACTGCTTGGAAAAACAAGAGTGGATCGGTGTAGTGAGAGTGACTGGGAGTCTTGGGGAGCAGGCCTGGCCATCGGCAGGGCTCAGGTGGGGACATTCAGCGGCGGCCACTGCCAGAGACTGTGGCTCTGATGAAAAAATATCAAAGGTTCATGCTACAGCCTGGCAAGTGTCAGCGAGTCTGTGGGCTGGGCACCTGCCCAGCCCAACGCTGAGCACTGTGCTCTGTGCCACCTTCCACAGCTTGAAACCAGGGAGGGGGCAGTGTTTTTGTCCCCAGAGCCAGCTGACTCAGGTTTATAAGAGTAGTCTGTGCGCATAGCAAGGAAGGGGTTATCCCCAAATCTGGGCGGAGGAGAGGGCTCCTGTTGCCGGCCAGTGTGGTTATAAATATGGCATCTTAGCGGCTCTAGTGTCGTCTTGTTCTGATGGGAAGGTTCTTAATGTCCCAGTTGCTTGAAGGGATAGTTCATTTCGGCATAAATGGATCACCGTGTGCTCTGAATTTTATTCCCGGAAATGTGAAGTATGCCCAGAGCTCTGCTGGTTTGGAGAGAGAGAGAGAGAGAGTGAGTGTGTGTGTGTGTGTGTGTGTGTGCACGCGTGTGCGCGTTTGGGGGAGGGTCGGGGGGACACGAAGTCTATTTATTCCCCATAAACCCATGACCGGCCCTCTGAATCTGGACTCCACAGGGCTTCGTGGAGGCTTCTGTGCCCTGCTTACAGGGACCATGTGTTGCTTCTCTCAGCCGCCGTGACTCTCCCGGGCGCGCTGTTGTCTCTGCTCCTGCCACCATGGCTGTAATTACTGTCACTAATGGTTTTCCTGCCTGCAGAGTTTGGCCACTTGGGAGAGTGAGAACAAGATCCACTGTGCACAGACTCTGCTCGAAGGGGACGGCCCCAAAACCTACTGGACCCGCGAGCTGGCCAACGACGAGCTCATTCTGGTGAGGTCTGGGCCCCTGAATCAAGCCCACGGTCCCCCGATGATGCCGCCCTCCCTTGGGCGGAGGGCGGGACCCTGCGGGCCCTGCAGTAAAAAGGGAGTGGAGAGCCTGAAGGTGACCGCTGAGGTGGCAGGCAGGCCTTGTTTAATGGTCGGGGCAGGGCAGGGCTGAGATGGGTGGCCGTGGCCCCACTGTGCATCCCCATGGTGACCCCGTGGCTCTCTCTGAGTCGCCTCCCTTCCCACTGCGCCAGAGCGCCGGGCTCTGCGAGGCCCCAGGGGGGTTCACTCTGCAGAGGGATTTTCTGCCCCTTCCCTTTCCCCATTTTGCCGCCAGGGCAAGATTTCAGGTTTAGCCTGTCAGCCCGGGAGCCCCAGAGAGCAAACGTTTGCACCCCAGCCTTACCAGCTGCAGTGGCCTTCAGGAGCCAGGCGAGGCCTGTGGCTGCCGAAAAGGCCTGTGTGTCCAAAGGACCCAAAGGCTGGGTCCTCGGGGACAGAGAAGGGTGGGCTCTCCCTGCAAGGTACTCAGATTAAAGCATTTTAAACGATCCTGGCCACACAGACTGGACCTGGTGAGGCCAATTTAGAGACCCCCACAGTTTAATCACACCCGGCCTTGTCCTTTAGTTCAGATGTTGGGGGCAGAGAAAGTTGGGGAGGATGGGGAGGGCTCAGTCACTCTTCCTTTGTGTTTCGGAATAGACCAGGCTTTCCCTGCCACAACCCCGCCCTCCCCCCGCCCCCCATCTGCGAGACACACACAAGCACACATGCACACACGCATATGCATACACACACACGCGCACGCACACGCACACACACACACGCGCGCGCGCGCACAAGGGGAAAAGCTGTGTGGGTAACCTGGAAACGATGTCCTTTGTTCTCCACGAGGCATATTGTTACCGTCTTCTCTCTAAGACCACCTGCCTGCCCCATCTTAGCTCACGTCCTCCTCCAGCGCTGGGGAAGGAGCCCGAAGGGTGGGACGTGGGCCAGCCACACTGTGCGATCTGGGCATGGCCCTTCCCTTCCCAGGCTGTAGGATGAGGGCGGCCACTGGAGTTGGATCCCTGGGTGCGGTGCTCTCAGCCCTAAAATTGCACGTTGATCCTGTGGGCAGACCCTGAACGGGGCGGTCTCTCTTACTCCTGCTGAGGCTACTTGATCCCTCTCTCTCCTCTTATCCTTCCGGGGCTTGATTCTGAGTCCTGTCTGCTTTCATAGAGAAGGGGCCGGCTTCCTTTGCAACCCGGTGAATGCCAGTTCCAGGGAAGGAGTACCTGATGGGGTTGGAGGGGCACTTTGAAGCTGAGACGTGGAATTTAGGAGAAGGTGGAAGAAAAGGTTCACTGGTACCAGAGTCAGCAAAGCTCTCAGTTCTGGAGCGTGGCTGAGAGTTTAGCAGGCTTGGCTTGCTCCGTGAGAAAGTGTGATTTTATTAACCTTGCAATCCCCGAACGGCCAGAGCACGTTCTGCTGCAAGAACTCCAAGACTTCCGACCCCCTCCCCCCACCCAGCTCCACCCACCAGACAAGCCTCAAAGGGAGTGTTAATTCTTGGCATTTGAGACCTGATATATGGGCTTTTGTTTCGAAGGTCGTTATCGTTAATAAATCCCAAACACAGGGAGATGCGTCTCCTCATAACAAGAGGTAGATTATCCTAGTTGAGTTGCCATAAGCTCTCCCAGTGCCCACAGTAAATTGTCCCCTGGGGGCTGTAAGTTCCCTTCTGTGAAAACGGAGTATCTTCCTTCAAACCACTCTGGGACACTCCAGAGCTGCTTTCAAGAATGTTTTGTCACGGGTGCCTGCAGGGAAGGACGTTTCAGATGCGGTTGGAAATGTGATTTCTTCCCGCACATCAGGAAGCTACTGGTCAGCCTGGGGGTTTGGGGGAGGCGTCGGATGCGAGGGTGGTCACAGTGCATGGCAGGGACCCCAACCACACATCCTCTGTGTCCACAGAGCTGAGAGGTCGGCACCCCTAGAGGGGGATCTCCGTGGGAACCCCTGCCCCCCTGCCCTCCTTCTCCAGGCACAGTATCCCCTGCAGACAGAAGTGTCCGCAGCAGCTACAACTGTGCCTGTGTGACCACGAGCCCCACTTGGAAGAGAAGCTGTTGACGGGTGCTTCCTTCTTGGTGTCACTCAGGGCTAGTGTTTCCCCTGAGACACACGTTGGAATCAGGTCTTGCCATGTGCCTCCTGAGAGGCTCTTGGCCAGCCGACAGGTGGGGGCGAGAAGCTGAAGGTCCAGGTCTAGCCGGGCTCTCAGCCTCCCCCAGGGCCTCAAGCCCCGTGGAGAACCTGAGAGCGAGGGGCACTCCTGTAGAAAAGTGAGCGTCGGCAGACATGCGCTCTGTCTGTCTGCTATATGATGGGCCCAAACCATTCCCCGGATGGAGGTTTTTCTTCTGACCCTGATGTGGGAGCACCTCTAAGTAAATGATCTTAACTCTCCCCCAAACTAGCAATCATGAATTATTCACGATTGCTAGTTTGGGGGAGAGTTAAGATCATATAGCAGACAGACAGACAGACAAAAAGCCATAGAACTTTAGCTGGAGCGACCCTTTGAGATCGTCCTGCTGCATTCCAGCCCTGTGTGAAACCGCCTCCCTCCTGCTTGGGGCCACCAAGCAGCCTCCCCCACTGGGTGCCATCAAGTGGGGTCTGGAGGCCGGGCCGCCCACCATCCAGCCTGCCGGTGACTTAAGGATGAGCAGCCGCTCTCACCCATGCCGTCCCCTCTGGCTGGTCAGCGAGTGACCCCAGAGCTCTGGCTGCTCAGGCCCTTTGCTCTGCTGAAGTCATTTGAAGAGACAGAGCCACCTCAGAAATGTCCAATGGGACATCTCCCCCTTGCAGTTTCATTTTTCAAACCAAGCATTTCTGACGTTGGCATTCATGGGCTCCAGAAACAAAGGAAAATTGCATATAATTCTATACCCCAGTTGCCTCTCTGCCTGTGCGGAGCTTAAAGGAGAAGAGAAGAAAAAGAAAAAAAAAAAAAGACCTCAGCAGTTAGCGCGAGCATGTGGCCCAGGGACTTGAACGTCGGTTAACAAAGGGTCTTTAGCAGGGCAGTAAGTGGCCCTATGAGTGACGTGCTCTAAACACGTTTGCACAGGCGTCTGCTCTGATTGTCTTTCCTTCTCCACAGACGTTCGGCGCCGATGACGTGGTCTGCACCAGAATTTACGTTCGGGAATGAAGGCAGCCGGCGTGCCCCGACTTCGGGGGCTGAGAAACGGCTAGGTCTGAGCTGCCAGTGCACCCCCCCTTGCCCCGTACCAACTTTAGGTGACCCCGTTTCCCCTGTGACGGTCTTGTAGTGTCCCCCCAAGGCCTCTGTACCCCCAAGTCCCTGCTGCTCCGTAGTGTGGCATCTGCATGCTTTTGCCCACCATTAAACTGGTCAGCCGCACTGCAAGGCTGTTCCCGTCTTCACGCCGTGTCTTCAGCTGCAGCCTGGGGTTCTGGTGCACGTGCTGTCCTCAGCACATCCCTGGGCTGTGAAGTGGCTTCAGCTTCAGCTGCTGCCTCGGGCCGTGCTTGGAGCATACAGCAGTGGTGCAAGCCGGGCTCCCTCCAGCAGGAAAAGGACCACAGATCTGGGTGTGTGTGGCCTTCACTGTGCTGTTTTCTAACGGAACTAGTCTGTGTGGTGGTGGCTCCTAACAGGAAAAGAAGGGACGTTCAGAGGTTTCACTGAGGGGAGCCCAGAGTAAAGGGACTACTTACACAGGCACTTATAGGGACAGGATGGAGCGAATCAGCAAAGGCTCAGGTGGCCATCAGACTAGCAACAGAAGAGCCATTGCTTTCCACACCTGCACACAGAAGGGGCAGAGGGGTCACCAGACGAGAAGAGCTATGGCCTGGGAGAGAGGCCACCATGCCCAAGCTGGGCAGTACGTGGAGGAAGGTAGCCACTGTCCACACCATGGCCCCAGGGTACGTGTGGGGGTGGGGGTGGGCGTGGAGGTGGAGTTTGGTTTGGAACCAAGGGGTTAAGTATCGTGACCTCCCACCTTTCGATCTCTGATCGACCTGTGCTGCCCACTGGCCAAGCCCAAGTGGAATGTAGGGGACAGTGAGTCACCATCCCCAGACACAGCCAGGTGCAGAATGGGTCTGAACATGTAAGCCGACAATACTCCACTGTTGCCAACTCTCATGTTTTCAAATCAGGAGATTTCACATGAAAATCTGGATTCCTGTTTCCTTAGGAGAAAAACTGGGAAAATACGGCATATCTGCACCAACATTCCCACAGGGTTAACTGCTGACACTTCTCCCCTCCTTGAAGTGGACCCTGCCACAGCTCCTGCCCCCACTGCTTCCTGGCTTCCTGGGCCCCTCTCCTTGCTGTCCGAGCAGCAGGGGCTCTCTGTAAAGCCGGGCTAGTGTTAGCTGAGCAGCGGTGCGCAGGCATGGCTGAGGCCAGGAGAAGGTGTGAAAGGCAGGTCATGGCACAGGGACAAGGGCAGACTCCATCCACGGGTGCTGGGGACGCCTCACCGTGGGTGGACTGGGCAGGGCCCCAGACATCTTGGCGGACAGGCTTCCGGGCTGCTGCTGCTGCCGGGTCTTCTCCAGATCCCCACACGGGGCACGTGCAGGCTCCTGGTTGGAGGGAGGATGTGAGAGGACCGTCCCCTTTCCTGGCTCTGGGAATTCAGCCATCTCCATCATGTTCGTTAGCACACGTCACACGGGGGCACATGTGTTGCCCTTTTGGGGCAGGGTAGGACAGGGAGACTCTCCAGCGGACTCGGGCTGGACTCGGGCTGAGCGCAGAGCCAGAGGCGGGCCTCCATCTCCCTACCCCGACATCATGGCCTGAGCGTAAATCAGAGGGCGGAGGCTTAGGGACTGAGGCACCTGGTCGTCCCTCCTGATCAGCCTTTTCTGGAGACTGCCCGCTCTCACGCCCGCGTGGGGCACAGGCCAGCGCAGCTGCATTTGGATGACAGGATGTGCAAGCATCAGCAGCAGTTCACCTAGAACATCGCGAGCCCGGTCCTCATTTTCCAGAACAGCAAGGCACCGAGTTTCCCAATTGTCTTGAACGAAGGGACACGAAGGCTCCCCAGATCCGGGTCTGGGTCAGCGGCCACAACGGGCGGCGCAAGCTTCGCGCAGCACACGAAACTGGCACACGTGCAGGGGGGCCCGGCCACCGGCCTGCGAGCCAGAGCACGAGCTCAGGAGGGCACACTCCGCCCGGCACTCAAGGCCTCCCCGACTCGGCCCCGCAGGCTCCACAGAACACAGAGGGCCGTGTCAGGGGCACACCCTCAGGGGCTAAAAGCCCAAACGCCCCCGGCCTCAGCGGCAGGGCAGCACGGGGCGAGCCTCGTCGACGCCCGGCAGGTGCGGCCCTCCGTTCCGGTGTCCCGCGGGGCGGTCCGGGTCACACGACCACCCGGACCCCATCACCGCTGGGGCGGGGCGCGTCGCTCTGCCAGAGTGCCACGTGACCGCGGGGCGGGGTGCGTCCTGCCGGCGGAGTCCTGCAGGGGACGGCCAGGGGGGGCCCCCGGATGGCAGGGCCTTGGGCGGCTTCCACGCTGAGGGAGGACAGTAAAACCCGCATGGCTCGGGTGAAGGTTCAGTGCGCGGGGGTCCTGCGACGCCGGTGAGCCCAGCCCTGCGCCGCCGCGTCGGAACCCGCTCCCGCGTCTGAGCCTGGAAGGGTTCGGCCCTCCCTGGGCCGTCCGGCCCTGGCCCCACCCCGCCCCGGCCCCGCCCCACCCCGGCCACGCCCCGGCTTGGCACCCCCTCGCCTTGGCCCCGTCTCGCCCTGGCCACGCCTCGCCCTGGCCCCCGCCCGGTTCCGCCCCTCCTCTGGCCCGGACCCGCGCCCCAGGCCCGCCAGCCAGCGCCCCTACCCGGTGCCCGCGCGGCCTCTGCGGTGGGCCTGCGTCGTCGCTCTACACTGGCCAGCTCCTGCCGTTGCCGGCCAGCTCCTGCCGTTGCCGGCCACCTCGTCTGTGTGGTCCCTGAGGCCAGGCGTGGCCCCCGGGGCGCACGGCGAGTGGGGCGCTCTGTAACACGTGCTGCCCTGCCCGCCTGACCTATGGAAAGCCGAGCCCAGCCTCCCCCGCCGCTGTCCTCCAGGCCAGGTGGACGTGGGAGCGCACACCGACCCCACCAGCCCCTGGGCACTGGGCACGCGTGCGCTAGTCCATCTCGAGGCAGGCGGCTGGGCATTCCTAGCCCCCCTCCTTGCCCGCCTCCCACAGTAGAGGCCCCAAAAGTCAATGCTGGGCTGTAACTAGGGCTGACCATGCCGCCCCGTCTGGCCAGAGACTTACGGGAAAGTCTGTTGTGGGGCTTCTGGGAAACACGTTTTCTTCCGGATGGGAGAGGAGAGCGGAGCAGCTAACTTCTGCTTCCTGCCTCGGAGTGTGGAGTGAGATGGCAATGCCCGGAGCTGCTGCAGCCACCTTATGCCTGTGAGGAAAAGGCCAAGGGAATCTTGGAGGTACCAGTCGCAAGTCCCTGAGATAATACAGTCCCTACCCATCACTGGGGGTATTGCCTCATGATTAAAGAAAAAAGCCCTTCTTTGTTGACGCCAGTTATGCTTCCATACCTGCAAGTAAAAGCACTTGCTGCTAATACACGGAGGTAACAGGAAGGACAGGGGTGCATCTAGCTTGCAGATTTCTGCGAAGTCTTGTCTTCAGGACGACTACCAGCGCAATGTAAATTAGACAATGTGCCGTCTTGCTCCAAGGAGAAAGTAATGTTGAAATATTTAATGCAAGACCCCATTCATATTGTAACATCTTTCTCGGCCCCCTGTTGCTTGAAGCCCCCTCTCGCCACCATGGCAGCCAGCTTGTAGGACTACACAGCGAGGCTGCGATCAGAGACAAGGTGGGGCAACGAGCTTGCAAAGGCAGCGGCACCCCACCCAGCTGACCCCACCCATGCCTTCCCGAGATGTCAGCCCCGGGGAGTGCACTCCAGGCATCTTCCTGCCTTCCCGAAACCTTTACTGTAACTGTTGCCCTTTAGTACCGGCAAAGTCCTCAATCCTGGCGGGAACATCCTTGCGTCATTGAGTGAAAACTAGTCTTCACAAAGTCTCCTCCGCTGGCGTGCGCGCGTAACTGGACAGACCGCTGTGCGGACCCCAACCCATCAGGGCTCCTCCGCTTTCTTTTTTTTTTTTAAAGATTTTATTTATTTATTTGACAGAGACACAGTGAGAGAGGGAACACAAGCAGGGGGAGTAGGAGAGGGAGAAGCAGTCTTCCCGCTGAGCAGGGAGCCCGATGTGTGGCTCGATCCCAGGACCCCAGATCATGACCTGAGCTGAAGGCAGACAATGACTGAGCCACCCAGGTGCCCCAGCCCCTCCACTTTTAAGCAACCCCAGTGTGGGTCCCTCAGGGTCATTGTTTTAGGTGCTTGTCGAGATTGGGGAGTCCCTCTCTACAGGGCCTGTCTTTTTTTTTTTTTTTTTAACTCAGAAAATGTCAAGCGTTCCCCACAGTAGAAAATAGTGTAATCATCCCCTATACACTCACCTCCCCGCTTCAACAGCCTTTGACACCTTTGACTTGTTTCACACGCGCTCCCTCTCTCAGATTACTTTGAAGCAAATCCTAGACATTTCAGATTTCACCTATAAATATTTCAGCATATGTTTCTAAAAGTTGACAGTTACCTTAAAAGCGACTATGATTATCATACCTTAAAGATTAAAAGTAATTCCTAATACCATCAAGTATCCTGTCAATACTCAAATTCTCCTGATTGTCTCGTAAATTTCTTGGCCTGGCTGCTCAAATCGGGTTCGAAAATGACCATACTTTGCGATTGGCTCATTTTTCTTTTAAGTCTCCCTAGATCTGTAAGTTCCCTTCTACCTCATTTTATTTTTTAGGTGTGTTTGTTGGCGAGATTGGTTGTTTGTCCTGTAAGGCATCTCACAGTCTGGATTTGGTGATCACATTTCCACACTGCTGTTCACTGTGTTTCTTGTAAACTGGTAGTTATGTCTAGAAGCTTGGTCAGAAGCAGGTTTGATTTTTCTGGGAACAACACAGCAGAGGTGGTCTGCTGTGTTCCCTAGAGGATGCGTGAAGTCTGGTTCCTCTCTTTCTATGATGCTAGCAGCCGCTGGTGATTGCTGCCTAGATCCATGGTTTCACTAGAAGTTAAAATGTGGGGATATTCTAATGCTCTCATTTC